TGTGTGAGTGAGTGAGAGAGAGAGAGAGAGACTCATTGAATGAGAATAACATTATTGTTCTTATCATTCAATTATTAGACATTTTGTATTAGTTTTTGTATGTATTGTGAGTCTATTGCTAATGAGAAACGCATTGATTAACTCAAACTTTATTCCACACCATATGTGTACCAGAAATGAGTTTATGTGACTTAATCTCACTTTTATTTAACATTTCTTTATAGACCATATATAGAAAAACCAATATTTTTTGTATGACTTCTATAATATGTCTATTCATTTGTTAGTTTGAATTCAATAAGTAATTGGCTATCATTTCATTCATTCAATTGATTTGCAAAAAAGTGACAAACAATTGAACTTCAAATCAAGTGCTTCTCATAAGAGCTCTCATCTTATTATATCATATCAATTGTCAGTACTTTTGGACATTTTTAGTGCTAAAGTACTGGTAATTCACTCCTTATGCAATGCATTCATATAAATTATACTTCAAACTTAACATAATAGAAATTTTACTTTCAAAAATAGAAATAAAAATCAATTTGTGTTAATAAAGACACGTTTTAAACGAAATTTCTTTATTCAAATTCAAAATAAGATATTTTATTATAATTATTTAGTTGCTTGTTTAATTTACAAAACTTAATAAATGTAAGTTATTCTATAATAACTTAATATAAACTGAAAGTTATATATATTTACATAAAAATCTGTATAAAAGGAAGTTGATATTAGTTTCCAAAAGTCAGACATAACTAATATTTGTCACAATAATATTATATTAATATACTGCACCGTATCATATAAATATATATCTAATTATTCAATTGTATTCACAATTCTATAATTTTATGTTATTTAATATATTTTATGTTATTTACATTTGAAAGGCGAGTAAATTAAATTTAAACCGATTCTAAGAAATACAGAAATAAACATCAAATTAGATTAAATACAAAAAGTGTCGCAATTTTCACGTAAATTATAATAAAACGTTGAGAAGTAGCACACAATTGATTAGTGTCTAGCTAACCCACGCATATTTGGTTAATCCCTGTGTGTCCCAGAACTCGCACCTATCACTCATCACATAATTATTGACAATTTGAGTCTCATTTGAGTTAATAATCGCCATTTGATGCGGAAATGATTGATCCCATTTGGATGGCAATGGTATGAATGAGTCTGGTTTGCCATCCCTCACAAAATTGAATACAATGTCTCGTATTTGTTGTTCAAACTGTTGATCCATTTCTGACGGCTTTTTAATAAACTTATCGATTGTTCCGAAAAATGCGATCAAATCCCAGAAATGAAATGAATTGTTTGATTGGATGTCAAATAGTCTGATGGGTTGCGAGGGCTTTGATGTTATGAGGTATCGATATATCGGCGACACTAACAGCGATGACAGGTTGGATGCGATGAGATTGACGGGACAGGTCTGTCGCAGGTCTGTCACCATTGTTAGGTACTGGAGGGCCGGTGTAATGGTGGGAGAGGGAGGGTATTGTTGAAGAGCCAATTGCGTGATTCTGGGGCCGAAAGAGTCGAGAGAAGTGGTGACATACTTGTTGTAGTCACTCCACGTCCACTTCCATAGGTCCTTAGGTCCGGGCCAGTACTCAGTCGCCTGAACTGTCGAGCCCACCAGCACTGGGATGTCGACAGATGTGTCGGCGGGGAATGGTATGGGAGCCGTCACTAATTCATCTGTCAATAAATGGCAGATATTGTAAGAAAACGGTGAAATATTTAGTAAAAATAAGTTATGGCACAGATGTCTGGCCCATAATGTTATTGACTTTACAATAAAGATAAGAAATTCTCTCAAAAATTCAATTATATTTTCTCTCCATTTTTCTGTGAATTTTAACGTTTATTGCATTTTATTGAATAAGTGTTTGCTTTTGTTTTATAGTATATAAACTCAGTTTGTGTTGAGTTTTGGTTCAATAAAATAGATTTTGACAAACTTTTGAAAAATTTCCAAAACATGTGCTAAACTTTGAGTTATAATTAGTTTTTCAGAAATTTCGAAACGAAAAATTCAAACATTTTTGCGCCAATTCTTTGAAGTCAAATACTTTAAAAACGAAAAATAAATAAAATAAGAAAATAAGTAAACCATAAAAAGACTTAAAATAATTTGAATTCTTTACATAAACTATTCTATTGTCAATAGTTTAAAATGATTACTAAATCATGTTGTATATAAAAATATATTTACTTAGGAATTGAAATTCTATTAGTATTTTGAATGAAATGTAAATTTAATAAATATTTGCGATAAAAATATAGAAATTTATTTGTTGTACAAAATGTTTTATTCAATACAAACCATCGATAACAATGAGCTGTTTGTTAAGCATGCCCTGAATGGGTAAATCATTTTGATCTTTGATGACAAACGATGGCTCGTCGTCGCCGATGAAGGCGTTGAGTACGGCTTCGGCGGACAGTCGGTAGAGACAGTCGATGTGCTGGCAATGAGTCCGCGACAAGAAGTTGTTGTGATTATAATTTGATGCCTCACTGAACGTACGGTTGAAATATAGGGCCGGATCTATGAGCCAAACCGAGCGAAACAGGGATCGCGAGTCGGGATTAGTCATTAAAGCCATAATCATTGCGGATCCGCCGTCGCTGCCAAACAATGTCACACGTCTGGGATCGCCACCAAACGAGTGGATGTTCCGCTGGATCCACTCCAACACCACCATCGAGTCCCAGAGGCCGTAGTTTCCAAATGACGAGTTGGCGCCTGAGTTGGCCAATAGATCCAACGCTAGGAAACCCATGGCTTGCAAGCGATAGTTGAATGACACGAACACGAAGTTTGAATCGCGAGACAGCTTTCCGTTAGGCCTTAAGTTCTCCATATGTCCGGAACCGTACTGAAGGAGTCCGCCGTGAAACCAAACCATCACTTCTAGA